GACAGAAATTTTACACACAAAAACCTGTTTCTGTAGAAAAACATCAGTGTGATATTTTACCACATCAACATTTTGACAACATCAAAAAGCTCCAACTATTTTAAAATAATAGGGTTTTTTGTTTTTTGTTTTTTTTTTTTTTTACAGTCACTATTGGAAATTTTTGTTTCCAGAAAAGAACACCTTTACAAAGTGGTGGGGTTTTATTGAACAGACTTGTTATAAACTTTTCGTTAAAGATACTATGAATAACTTCCCCAAAAAATCCCAGAGAAATTGTCTCCTCCTAAACCCCGCAAAATAATACAATAAAAAGAAATGTTTGCGAAGCTCTTTTCCTCATCTTCGACTACTCCATTAGTAACTTTGGGCGACGGACTGGGTTTTATAGCACGACTTATTTCATCCAACTAGAACCAGTATACAGGTGAATGCTGAGCAGATAAAAACTACAGAAAGTTTTCGGGTAGTTGACGGCCAGTGAAGGACATCGCCTACATCAGGATAAGGGCAGCTGTCAGGTGCCAGGGCCTGTCCGTGCAGCTGTGCAACCTTGCGTTTTTCTTCCTCGCTTCAGGGTAACACATTCCTCCCGTAGAAGATGTGACAGGTGTTTCAGACCCGGACAGTCCCTTCACAATGCTTGTGCTTTTACAAAGCTAAAATCACAAGACTTGACAGCTCCTGGGAAGACTTTTCCCTCAATTTTTCTTTGAGTTGGGTCCTAACAAGGTAGGTGCCTGCAGGCCTCAGGCTGACTCTCGGTTCCCTGCTGTTAGGTTAGCTCTCCGACAGTAACCCTGAGCAATTATGAATTAAGTACCCTGGAGCATTATTAATTTGTTAGCTGAGCGTATTTTGAATGTGTTGAACTCCCTGTTGATAGTTAATTTCATTACTGCTGCTTAATTAAGATAGACTAAAAGGTGGCATGGATCGTTCTCAACCTTGACTAGGGCCATCATCCCAGGATAGAAGGGTCTGGGAAAGGCGAGCCATATACAGCCAGAATATTTTAATTACACTGATATAGTATAATAATCAGACTTCTGTCTACCTAGGCTCACACTCACAGGGGCATATAGGCTCTTAATTTCCTTGAAATCCCCTGGACTCCAGCACCTGTATACCTCTGTAGTTCTGCGCCACAGAGCAGGGACCCAGGCCTTTAGTTAAAGATATCTCAGTTCATCCTATTTGGAAGCTGGGTGATGCGAAAAAGGCCACCAAAACACAAAGACATCCATTTCTTCGTGGGACCGATGAACCAGCAAGCCCCGAGCTCTGCTGACTGCAGGAGACGGAACGAAAAACACAGAGAGAGCACAGATCAGATGGTCGTAACACTGTCTGAAAGGGAAAAGCAACCGGAGAACTCCAGATAACAGCCATTGTTTCCAGGAGGCACTTGCTCAAATAATAAATTTTCAGTGAGTCACTGAAGTCATATTTGACATAACTGTATGTGAAGGACATCTTAATGAAGCTGGAAAAATAAATCTCTTCAGAAATCTTTTGTAAGCAATGAAGGAGTGACCAGGCTAAAAGCGGTTTAATAGCATATAAACCACCACCGTTCTAAGATTAGTTATTCCTGGGAGAACTCACATGACCTTTTAACAATCTATGAATAAGAAGCCTACGCAAACTTGAGTCTCCAAAGACGTTCCAGAAATAAGCTTTTTTCACTGCCTACGTACAGGCAGTGTTCAGGGATGGATGCAACCCAGGTTTTAGCAGAGGGAAGGCTCTCATGGGTATCCCAGGCTATGGGAACACACAGTCTACTTGTCTGTGTCAGGGCAGAAGGAAGCCACTCTTAAAACTTTCCCCCTTTCCAGGTAAATCTACCAAGTCACCAACAGCGACTGGAGAACCTGTGTCGTGCTGCAAACAGTGCAGAGTAACACAGCATAGTAGACTAAACCAAAGAAACATGAGTAATCAGCAGATGAAGTCAATAAATGTTATGCACATACATCATAGAGTAATTCAGTAAGTCCAAGAAACAAAGATCCTGCTCTCTTCTCAGAAGGGCCTGAACCATATTACACAGTCTCTGGAACTATGTAGATCTCTGGGAACTACGTGTAACTCTGCTTAAGACAGCACTGATTATAGCAAAGACAACCCTCCGACCTGCAGTCTCTTGTTCTCCAGGAGAATTTAGTGCCTTCTGGTGCATGCATTTCATCAGCGTAGGGCTTTACAGCACCTGGCAAGAAACCTGCAAGGCCACCAAAATCCCGGTCTGTTCACTCTCCTGTCAGTAAGACCGAGATCCCACTCTGATCTTTCCTGTTCCTTTGCCCCTCACCAGCAGCTTCCCACACATCTTTCCTACATTTCTCCAGTTGAGAGCATCCAGCTGGCAGTGACCAGGGGCCCTATCCAGAAATCCAGGGCCCTCCATGGCCACACTAAGTTCAGATTCAAGCTCAAGTTTGTGAGCACAAAATCAAAGATCGAGTTGTTCTGCTAATGCCAGCTACAGCAGTGGAAGAAGCAGGGTCTTAGAGGGTGGAATGCATCTCACCTGACTTCAGCTATCTGGTCTAAGGTAGCAACCTGACCTCCCTCTGTGAGAGGCATGTGCCACTGCAAGGTGACCCAACTCCACCTTAAACACTTACTTGAAAGTTTAGATAGATGAGGCTGAAGTGCTGGTCTCTTTCCATTGATGACGGGGTACCTAAATGACTTGCTTGGGTTAACTACTAAGTTTTTTAGCAGCTAAATTTAGACGAAATGGATTCTTTACCTTCCTCCATTTTCATTAATCAGAAAAGCACTGGAAAGTACTGATCAGAAAACAAATGGTAGTGACTCAGAGCTGGCAGATGAGTACTAGTAATATAAACAAGCTCTCAAACTGCTAAGAACCACCAAATGCTTCCTCATGGGATATAAATGAGATCTTCAAAAACGCTAACATCTTCACAGTAGTAGCAGTTCAGAGCAGATGCACGATCCAAACCCCTGCATAGGCTACTCTGTCCCATATTACCTCTCTCCTGCCCATGGAAGAAGCTTACGAAACAGCTCCATTTTTTCCAGGCACAGAACCCTGAGTTAATTTCTCTGTGCTGGAGCTAACAGTGCAACCCAGTCTGGACAAAACTGAAAACCACAAGTGGGCTGCACCCACACGCCACAACCAAGTGCCAGAAAGTCAGGGACCAACACAAAGCCTTTCAATGCTCCGAATCACAAATCAGAGCAGAATCACAAATTCCAGGGAGCCCCTAAATGCACAGAAGTAAAAGGTCTCGATACTAATTTGCACCTACAAGTCTTCAGTTACTTCTTCAAAATGAATGGGAAATAATATTCAATATTTAATGGACTTTCCTTCACATCCTACCACAGTTTCTTTTCTTTAATGAGTCTTGGAAGAATTTTCCCCATTTTTTTTTTTTTTTTTTTTTTTTTTTTTAAACTAGAACTAATAATTTTCAGTCTTATGATTAGTCATCCCTTCAGAGCATGCTAATAGATGTGAAAGGCTGGGCTGTCTGGTACAAAAGTCTTATTTCTCTTCTTCCCATCATGTAATTTTTGCCCATATATCTGCTATCTATCTTCAGTAGTTTTTCTTCATTTCCCTTACAGAAATCAGTTACTGATTTGTTGTTCCTTGTATATCTCTTGAAGTTTTTTTTTGAAAATGTCTTCACATTTCCCATCTTCTGAGGTTAAATAACAGACTACATGCCTCAGTAAGTTTGGCAATTCACAGCTTGAAATCCTTTAGAATTCTTGGGTAAATACCCACTGGCCTTGGTGTACTGTACACCATTTAACAACTTCCTCCAACAACACTGAGGTGAGAAAATTGCCCTGATTCACCTCCGTAAAAGAGACTGTCATAGGGAAACCTATCTAGGGACCTTCATAGTGATCCTGCAATTAAAATGAATTCAAAGAATTCACTTAATATTTCTGATGGGGGCTAATCTTCCCCGATGCTTTTGCAGAATCCTTCTCTGGTTCTTGCTCCCTTAGCTTGCTACACTTCCAGCCCACAGTCCTAGAAGAGACACCAGCTTTCTTCATTATAGAAGTATCACCATCTTGTGATGGGAAATAGTTTCCAGAATATTCAAGCTTCAACACTTTTTTTTTAACTTTTCTTTTTTTAATAGGCAAGATCTGTGCGTGTTTAGTACAGGCTTAGTGCTAAAGCCTGCACTTCGATAAACCTTTCACAAACGAGTTCTGAAGTTAAATCCCTGAAAACGTGAAAGATGATCAGAAAATAAAGAGAGGAACAAGTCTTCCCTGTAAACCCAGGAAAACACTTTAAATACAGTAGAGAGCTATCCTTGTTTGTATCCATGTGTTTTTATGTCAGGAAAATACAATCAACCTAGGTGCTAACTATGCTTTCTGTCATGATCCAGAAGCTATTGCAGCTGCTGCCTGCTTTTAACAAACCTCCAGATTTCTCTGTTGCTTGAAGCTTCTGTTATCTATATTTTGGGTTTCCTGGGAATATTTGACAGTGTCAGGAGCACTAAAGAAAAAAGAATGGACAGGTTGCTTGCACTTCTTGGAAGAAGATAGTAAAAATGAGCCTTCAGAAGTTTAGCAGAACTCAAACTTACAGCTTGTAGACGAGCTTTCAGGGACTTTGCTTATTTGCTGTTAGTGTTTTTTTTTTTTTAATCTGGCTCATGTTGCCGAGTTAAGAACGTATACTAACTGTGAGACACGATCAGACCAGATACTCAGCTTGCGTAGTCACCTGTTTCAGATCTGACGGTATAGAGAGGGATTACAAGAATCTTTCTATTAGATTCATCTCCTGAGAAGAGAAAAAAGAGCCTAAAAGAAGTAGTCGCTAGGGAAAACCATGGCTCTGGCCTCCTCTGTTTCTATACGGAGCTGCAGTGGGGACCCCACTAATGACAGCAATTTGCCATTTTCAGAACTCTGCGTTGGTAGTTGGTTTTAGAATTGGCCACGGAACTAGATGAGATGATGACCTACAGGCTTACCTTAGGGAGTCTGTACTTTTCTCTCAGATGAACCCTCAGACAGGCTCGCTCTGCTTTTTTCTGTGCAAATGCTGCATCTCTTTCCATCCTGGAAATCAGAAAAAATGTTTCTTCAAAATACTAATGAAATACGGTCTTTTACACTGAACCAGTTGCTCGACTGCAAAAAGCTACACGCAGGAGTCATTCCCAAAGTCCTGTAACTTGTCCGACAGCCCAAAAGGAGCGATATCAATGAAGCGATGCTAAGGGGCCAGACTTCCTCTACCCCAAGTTTGTTCTCCAAACAGTTCCCTTGAGTCCCATGGAGAATAAAGGATAAGCCAATATTCCCTGTCTGGAGCTTGTACCTGTACTACCTGGTATTGCTCAGTATAATAATGAACCATTCCAATAAGCAGAACAGAAAAGTTACATTTATTCCTTGCCTGTTCCACTGGGGCACTTACTGAGACGTGGCTGCCTGCCAACGCTCCTGTTCTACAGACGTGACACTGTCATAGCATAACAGCACACACACGCACACAGAGGCAGAATGGCCTTTCTGGGTCAGACCAAAAGTTTACCTAACCTAGAGCCCTAGCTCCAACAGCAGACAGTAGCGGACACTTAGAATTTAAGAAGAGGATAAGCATCCTCTAGCAAAACTGCCCAGCTTCCAAAAATTAGTGGTGTGGGGTACTGGAGCTGGAAATTGGCTCTACATCATTGTCTTTGACAGTCCTGGATGGTCTCTGTCACCTATGAATTTTCCTCGTCTTTTCTGCATCCATTTATTGTTTCAGAACATCCTATGGCAATGAATTCCACAGCTTAGCTGTGTGGAAAAGTACTTCTTTCATCTGTGATTTTACAAAATGCTTTCATTAGATTTAAGAACCATTCAGGACAAATTTTTGTTAGATTACTTACGTTTTTATTTGCAAAATGTGTCTCCTCAAAGATTTTTGGTAACATTTGATAACACTCACCTTCACCCCCCCTCCCCTTAATTTTTTTTCCCAGAAGCATTGTCATGGAAATTCTATAGAAATCGATTTTGTTCCAGTATAGGTATTTTGTCACATAAAAGCTACTTGCAAGATGAAATGTTATTTTTCCTCTGCTTCCACAAATGAGTTTTTGGATTTCTCTCTCTCTCTCTCTCTCAAAAGAAGTTCCGATTAACTGGAAGCTGTCTTAAACCTCTTTCAGGCAGTCATTGATGGGAAGATTGGAAAGAGATTTTTGGAGTCCTTCTGGCATACTTTCCCTCTCTTTCTCAACCCCCCTCTTCTGTGGCCCGCTCCCTCCCCGGAGGAGCCGGTAGCGGGTACCGGGCTGTGTCCCCCCCAGGGCAGCGCCTGCGGAGGAGGGGCTGGAGCTTTCCACTTCTCCTGGCTTCATGGGAAGACCTGGCAAAACTCACTCAGCCTGTCTCCCACCTGGGCCCTAGCGTCTGGCCTAATCTTACACCTTTTTGTTCTGGAGGATCTAATTATTCCCTGGAACACGAAGCATTGTAGGAACAGGGAACAGGTACAGGAGCAGTTGCGTGACAGTCAGGAGCCTGTGATGTACAGCACAAACTGGTGGTCTCCTCTTGCTTAAACTCTTGTGATGCAGGAAGCAAACTCTATGCAATCGTGCCGGAGTCTGGCAGCACAAGCCCCCTATTTGTTCCTGCTATTACACGTTATCCTGAGAAACAGCCATCTGTGCATTTTTGTGTGTTTAATCACCACAAGAAAACCCCAACCCAACCCAAAACCTGAGGAGAGCCCAAAGCCAGAGTGGTCGTGCATCAAAGGCCAAACTCTGCCTGAGTATGGCTCCAGCGAGGCACTTGGACTTCTCTGATCTCCACTCTTGTACAGCTGAAAACTGGGTAAAGTCCAGAGAGCCCCGAAACAGATGCTCTGCCCATGACAAAGATTTCTGACGCGCATTTACGTAACCACACCAGTGTGCGCTGTCCTGAGCTCATTTTTTCCCTTTGAAAGTACTTCAGATGTTCCTATTACAGTTCCAAACTGTACTTTCAGAAGTACTCCTGCACCGATTCCTGAATACACTTCAGCATGTAACGGACACATACCTCACTTGGAAACATTACAGAAATAATTCTTTTTCCAAGCATTTTTCCCTATCCCAGGAATCCTGTTTTGCTTCTCAGTCTCAATAAGGCATCCTCCTGCTGGCAGGTGGTTATTTCTCTTTTAAATATCCCTTGACAAAATGCATAGCAAAACATTCTGTATTTTATTCCAGACCAAATGATATCTATTCAAAGTTTTATGATAGAAATGGCTGCTGCTAAATACAGACCTGGATACCTCAAATTCCGTCAGTCATTAACCTTTCACCTATAATCATCTTACATGAAGGATTTACACAACCATTATGTAATTGACCATTAGAGGAACAGATGCATTTGAGATTTAAAAGTCAATCGTTTTATTTATAATTATGCATGATTTGAACTCCTACATGTGAAGTCCTTTATTCTACTTCTGTTTTGATATTTGAACACACAAGTGGTAAAGATTATAATTACAGACAAAATAAAATTGAGATTTTATCAGTTAAAAAGCTCTGCTTTATTTAGTGGATTTTAGAAAAAATAAATGAAATTGCAACTACAGAAAATAACCATCTTAAAACTTTTCTCTAGATAAATATCATCCATTTAATTTAGCACTCATTACTTTTTCAGGTCTGCCATAATAAATGTGGACAAAGAAAAGATCATGTATTGAAAGTGTACTCCACATGGAGCTCTAGGAGAACAAATCATACACATTTTAGAATTAACTCCTGCACTACAGCCAGTTTTGTACCTATGGAAAGATTTGACAGATACGGTAACATCAACTAGGAACGAATCCAGCATATTAAGGCGTGGAGATAGCAGGGAAGCATAGGAGAGAATTGCAGGATGGGGGTGGTGGTGGAGGGGGAACATAATATTTTAGCATTTCTAGTCAGTGAACTTTTATTTCGGAAAGTTTCTTTAGCAAAGATTGGTCTGCTTTAAAAAAAGGGAAGAGAGCTGGATGTTTGGCTTTTTCCTGGGTTATTTTTATCTGCACAAAGTTACAACGAATCAGCCCCATACTGATAATAAGGGAACAGGTACTCACTTCTCCTCAACCACTTGCTTTTGATATTCCTCATACTCCTCTCTGGTCATTCCTGCAGCTGCTGCTGGATCAGAAGGAGTGCTTTCTTCTTTGCTTTCTTCCCCTCCACCTCCAAGTCCCAAATTCTTTACCTGGTTGCTCAACATACTTTTCATTAGAAAGGCCATCTTCTCAAGAAAAAAGGAGCTATAAGCAAACAACTACAAGAAAGTCAAACCAAACCAAAAATGTTTTCAAAACCAACAATTGTAAGCAAGAGAGTTTCTACAGCCACATCAGCTCTTCAAGGGCACAATGCTAGTGAAACGTGAATGCCAAAACCAGTTTGTCAGCCATAATCTGGATTAAAGAGTGAACTTCTTAATATCTAGAGGCAGATGGTTCAGATTACTCCAAAAAATCATTAGATGCAGCTACCTACTTTTTGTATTAATACCTTAAGCTAATTGTACACACACACAAAAATCAATTATAGTGTGCAGTATCATTTTGACTTCTTCAGTCTTGAAACTCTCACTTTCACAGAGATGAAAACATACCCTGGAACACAACAGATCTGAATTAAAACCCTGGCTGACTAAATGGCCATAGTAAAATCGTAAAATTCGGGCTACTGAGCAGAAAACCCTTTTGGATTTACACAGTCAAGTGAGATTTGAAGACTGAATTCTTCATTAAGCAAAAAAACCCAATCCTTTTTATCCATTAATATTTTATCATATTGGACAGAAAGTACACTGAATGATTTTTCTTCATCCACTTTTCGTATGGTTGGTTTATCTCGCAGATGAATGGGGCATTACTGCTATCATTACTTTTCTTTGAAGAAAGTAATCACAAAAAAAGCGAATCACATCTTCCTACTTGCCATTCCTTAGGGTTTATTGCAACTCTTCCCCAGGCTGCCGCCATCTAGATGACCACTTCGGTGATGCACAGAATACCCAGTGTTTTTCATCTTAACCGTCAGTAAAGGAGAAATGAATCTGACTGATTCTGTATGCTACAATACAGCCTTGATATCTTTCGTTTGTGGATGGCTTGTGCAGGTCCTCATCTTTCCAACTTTTATTCACATCATTAGCCTCACCAGGTCTATTCAGGTGAAGATTTGAAGGATCTGCTACCTAGATCATAGACTATTTTGGGAAAGAAAATTATCTGCTAGGTTTCAAAAGTTCATGATTTTGGGTTTTGAGTGTCTATGCTACTATGACTGACTGCGCATGCCTTAATGAAACGTTCTGTAATTTTGATTATCTAAATGGTTTTCCAAGCACTCTCATAATTTCACTGAGAGACAGGCAGATTCCATTTTGCCTAATACCTTAATCTGTATTAGAGCCTTTCTAATTAAAGCAGACCTGTTACTATTAAAAAAAAAAAAAAAAAAGCAGGATGTTGCATAATCCTGGATTATTAGTGATTAAACAAGAAACTTTAAATTTCTTTTTGAAATAGAGTATCACTCAGAACCATGAATTCCAAATCACAAGCAAACTACATTGATATACCACAAATACCTAGAAAGTATTTTTTTTTTTGAATCAAAATGGATTTTTATAATCACTGTGTGCTTTCAGAACTACTCATGTTGCAAGAATTTGTGGGAAGAATCAGCTTTTTCCATCTGACCAACTCTGACCTTGATTACCAAAACTGTATTGCACTTGCCCAAATGGCTAACAGAACTGAGAACATCGATGTTAGATAGCTAATCACAATTTAAGCAGCGAATGCTAAGCTTGAGCGTGCATTAGTCTGAAGTTCAATGCATAAAACTAAATAAAATCTGTTATTTGGCAAAATTAAAAAAACTAAACCCCCAGCATTACGTTTATACCTAAGGTATCGTTGCTCCTACTTCAGAGTCACTTCAAAATGGGCCTGGGAAGGTCAGTCTGACTTTCTGTTACGCCCAGAGACTCCGCTGGTTCGGTTTGCTGCCTCTCTGAGGCCTGCGAAGGGCAGAACGGCGCATGGCGGCGTCCCTTATCGCCCATCCTTCTGCCTTTTCGAGAAGGCTGTGTGTGTTCAGAAGAGCTGACAACTAGCTAGTGCTGTGGGCCCACGGCAGGTCGGCTGTAGCCGTGCAGGCATGCTGGTTCCAGTAGAATGCGGCATGACCTGTGCTATTGCCGCATCGCTGTGCCACTGCGTCAGCCAGTAAGGGCTGTCCGACTCTGCTCAGCGGTACTTCTACAGCATTTTTCCAGCCTGGGGACAATACAGACAAGTAGGGATGGTTCTAATGCAACCCTTTGGCCTTCTGCTAAGACTAAGACCTTGCTTGCTTTGCTGGTATTTGAAAATTCCCCCAAACAGGCCTAATCCAGCACCTCTTTCGGGAGCACAGTCTTTGGATGAGTGCTCGGACTGCTGAGCAGTAGTGGCAACCCCATGACCCAGAACGAGATGGCAAGAGCCCCTCTCTGTTATGCGGTCAACTAAAAGAAATTAAAATAAAGGGTTATTTCTAGAAAATTGAGTTAAATACTGCTGCCAGCACAAGCCCCTGAAAAAAACAATCCCTGGTCCCTGAACTACAGCCTGACTCACAGAAGTCACTTGCCCCACACTGCTCAGAGCACAGCGGATCTCAAGAGTGGGAGACGCAAAACCCTAAGGGAGGGGAGAAGGTGCTTGGTCAATCTAGAAACGGATGGTGGCTACAGAAAGAGGGCATCATAACTCTGGATGAAAGTTTTGGTCTTGCTGACCTTCGCATCCACTGCTTACAACACAAAGCTAACAACGGAAACTGGCAATGTGGACACCAGAAGCCACAAGATCATCTTCTCAATCTGCTTCAGCTCCACAGCCAAGCTGTATCTTACACAAGTACGCGGCAAAAAAGGGGCCAACAAATACTGCACGAACCACATGCAGACCACAAGGTGTTTTCAGCAGCTTGCAGAAAACATTGAACGGGTTAAAGTAATATATTGGCACTGTTTATGCACCAATTCTAAAATGGATGAGTTCAGTAACAGTATGGTAGGCATCACAGAAAAGCATGCTACAAGAGAATTTTAAGATCAGGTAAGTTTCGATTGTTAGCACTTGTCTCTGTGCTTTGACAGCCACTTGATTAAAGGTTAGAATGCTGTCCCACACCATCACTACTTAGTGCCAAATGCCCCCGAGTCCACATGCAGCAGTTGGCTCATCTTTATCTAAAAATCCCCTAACTGGAACAGGGAGCAACAGTGTCTGTACTGCGCACCTCGCACATACGACATCCAGCACTGCTTTGTCCAATACGAGTCTCAGAGTCTTCTCTAAGCGTATGGGAAGTGTATCTGTTAAACTGTGCTATTGGTCTTCGCTGAAGAGAAGGTTCCCTAACTTTGGGCATAAGTCTTGGCTGTAGACTTTGATCCCTATAGAAATGTTGCTACCACCACCTTCTGCCTAAAAGAGATGCTTTCACAGAATCAGCTGAGAAGGCAAGAAAGCTGAGAACTGGCTTGGGAAGGGATTGCCGAGAACGTGAGAGATCTTGCCTTCCAGGTCTTGAAAGAGGTCTCATGAACATTCCGAACAGCAAAAGGCTTTCCAATGTTAGATTCAAAGCCGAAGACAACAAAAAGTGCTTTAAAAGTTATTGGCCCCATTGGCACTGGAAACTGCTGAGAAACACAAGAGACTAGTGACAAAACTTTGGAAGGTGATGTATCGCTAGCTAGTGAATTGCTCGCTTCATTGTGGGTTTAGGTATTTATCACACACCTCTGTATACAAATAAACACTCGGACTGATAAGGAACCAATTGCTTACAGAGTACCTAAAGCATCAAGTTTGAAGCACCTACCTTGAGAGCCAACAAGGACCAGTACCTCCAGAGTAATCCCCGTTCCTGGCAGGTGTTTCACCTACCGCCTATATTGAAGTTACAAGCCACTTACTGCTTTTTGTTGATTACAGGGATTACAGGCTTAATGAAAACATACAGAGAGCTGCCAAGTACTCATGTTGCCACTTCCTTTGCTTTAAATCAACGTCCCTTCCCTCTAGCTGAAGTGAAATAAAAAGTAAAGGCTCAGTTCCTGTCTTACCTGATTGAACTGGGCGATATGAAAAAGGCCCGTCCGTGTTCCATACCCAAAGAACGCAGGCATCTCCAACCCCAGAACAGGATTCAGAGTCTGCAAACAGGCAAATCACAAACAGCAAAATCTAAAAGCCTCACAGCGAGGCCAGGACAAAAAGGCTGTAGCCATGCAAGCATCCAGACTCCCAGCCTTATCCAGAGGCTATCCTCCTAAAACAGTCACAGCAGACAACTCCAACCACGTAGTTCAGAAGTATCCGAGTGCTCTCTGAAAGGACCCGAGACTCTCCCTCCCCGCTTCATCCCTCTAGAAGAGCATGTCGTCTTTTATAGAAATCAGAACATTAGATCACTTGTACAGAAAGAGAGAAGTAATTATTTTAGGGCTTTCTCAGCTTGAATAGATTCAATTAAAGATTCCTCCCCTCCACCTATTAGAGAAACTGCTGCTGGCTGGGGGAATTCTTACTCTTCCTGTGGGGGTCACCACAGACAAAGAGAGTTTACTGGATAGAAGAATTAAAAAAAAAAAAAAAAAAAAAAAAAAAAAAGAAAATAAACCAAGGAGATAGAGACTGACTTGTTTTGGATAGGCATGTTGTATTCCAGCAAACATAAGCAGAGCACTCAGGTGACAGCAGTTTGGTGAATGTGAAGAAAGAACTTCAGAGAGGTAGGCCATCTCCAGCTCAGAAAAATGAGATACTTTGCATTCCCAAAGCAGCCAGCAAGCAACGTAATTTCCTGGTAAGAGCCTGAGAAGTTGATGTACTACTTTACATTTGACCCTAAGTGTCTGATACTCAAGGCAAGTCTGATACTCTTAACACAAGTTTTTGGGTGAATCTCTCACTTTTAAGTCAGAGTCACTTTTGCATTAGACGGCAATACAGAGGATATAATCCCTTCGCACAGAATGAACCGAGGCTGCATTCAGCCTATATTTTTAACCAGCGGCAGTTGTCTGCCTCTTCAACAGAGGCAGAGCCTCAGCCTCTGAATGCCATGAACTCTCCAGTATCAGGTGGGACTGAACCCAGATCTCAAACTCTCTGAGCAAAAGAGGGTAAAGAATGCTTCAAGTACACTTGCTTGGACTTCATGGACATGTAC